TCTAATCGTCGGCTTAATAATAACAATAATATTGATCTGTATTATTACTAAGATAATTGTTTCTAATATGTGCCTTGGTAGTAGGGTTCCACCTTAATATTAATAATAAAATTGATCATTATTATTACTATGATCATAATTGTTTCTAATCTGTGTCCTGGTAACAGTGCCTTAGCATCAAGGACCCTTTAAAAGTCCCGCAGGCTCGCTGCTCGAATATATGCCGCTATGACTAATGCTAGCACAATAAATTTCTTCTGACTGAGAAATTTACCTCTCAGTGGGATGACTTCTTTTATAATCACGTCTACTAAATGAAGTCTTAGTGAAGCGAGATGTAGGAGTGATCAGGCCCCTGTGGCAATTCAATGTTATTTAAAGAGATGGAAAAAACAATAACTTACCTCCCTGTGCTGGTCATAGTATGCTGGTCTTAACCTCACGGCACTCTCATTCGTCCAGTATTACTGTCCAAAACAGTTTGAGTTTTCTGTTTTTCCTTTTTTTCGGTTCTCCTCGACGAATTGTTGTTATCTATGTGCTATCATATGCCCACTCGGTCCTTAAGAAACTCTCACACACACACAAAAAAGAAAACTTTCTTTATATTTTCATATCCAGTTCTCGTCAACGAAATATCTCTTTGTGCTGTCACTGTGCCACTGTATCTCCCTGTGAATGGTGGATTGTAGGCACAATTTCAGTCCTTGAGAAAGCACACACACACACACACACACAAAAGAAATACAAATTCTTTGTGGCACCAAAAATACGACTTGGTTACTGCTGGCAGTGGTGCCTTAATTGCTTGCTCCAATTTGTTCTTCACTTCAAATAATTTACAACCTTCTCCGTGGTCAGTGGTGTCGCTATGAACTGCCTTAACTAAAGTCAAAATACTACACTCTATGGTTGGCCTTTGGGTAGTCAATCAACGCTATGAGCACAACTCCAAAAAATAAAAATAAAAGAATCTTGTCATATGGCAATGGTTGTATGCCTCCCGACCTAACGTCGTAGGCTGTACCTCCACTCGGTGGAGAGTGAATTTTTAAATATACAAATGCGACTAACATTACCAATCCTACATCGATTTACACTTTCACATCACTAAAATGATCTTGATGCTCTTATGTAATCACTGTCCACTTTCTGCCGCTCAACAACGAAGTCCTAAATGCCAACACGCTTTGTTACAGAGACGCAACACGAACCCACCCGCACGCAACGCAACGAACAGTTCAAAACTCCTGAATGTATCTAAACCTGCCCCAGAGCTTGTCAAGTCTGGTCTTCAAAGAGCTCACACTCGGTGCCGTCACAACACTCTGGCAGATTGTTCCAAGAATTCACAACAATCACTCTAAAAAATTATCCCTCACCATTTTCTGGGCTTGCGGCTTCTTCAACCTCGACCCCGTGTGGGGCGAGCGTCCGTCAGCTCCAGGTAAGGGCACTCGACTGAGTAGTGCCCCTTGAGATGTTTATACACCTTATTTAGGTCCCCCCTTGCCCATCTGTAGTATAAGGTCGGTAATTTCAGGCACTCTAATATCACAGGGTAGCTGAGATACCGAAGTGCAGGCACCAGTCTGATGGCCCTCCTTTGGACATTTCCAATCAACTGACACTCCCTTGCATATCTCGGGGACCAGACGGGGTGACAGTACTTCAGACGGGAAAGCACCTCACTCTTGAAGATCGCTACGAGGAACTGAACGACCTTTTTATAAGACCTAATAATGTAATTGCCTGATTCCACCTTCTTCTCGCAATGGCCCGAGAACTTCAGCTCGTTGTCAACATACACACCTAGGTCCTTTTCACATTCAGCCTCAATTAATCTAGTCTCTTCTTCCCATTGGGACATATGATACGCCTCCTTACCGTTGGTACGCCCCAGGTTCAATATCATGATGTGTCAGAGGCTGCCTCTTACACTTCATGACACTGAATCTTCGCAGCGATTTCTTCGACCATTCTTGAAGCTCACAGAGAGCCTTCTGCAGCTCTTCACAGTCCGCTTGGTTCTTAATTTCCCGAAATAACTTGGCGTCATACCGCAAACACTTGTATGGAGGAATTTACAGCGTCAAGCATGTCATTTCTGAAGCAAACAAATAACATCGGGCCCAAGACACTGCACTGTGGTACCCCGCCTGTGACGGGTACACATGATGATTTCGTGCCATTAATCACCACACACTGCTTGCGGTCATGGAGAAAGTCTCCGATCTACTCTAGGACATTTCCCCGAATCCCGCACCCTTCCAGTTTAATTTTCAGCCTTTCATGTGGTACGCTGTCGAAAGTCTTGGCAAAATCTTGGTATATATTATTGATATTACCACCCTGTTCCAGAATTTGGGTCCAAATATCCAGTACCTAAAGTAATTGTGTTAAGCAGGAGCGCCCCGGCATAAAACCGTGTTGGCAATTCTTTACAAGGTTGTTTCGTAGTAGATGTTCCATCAAAGCAATTTTTATAATGCTCTCAAATAATTTACATACTATGCTGGTTAGGCTCACTAGTCTATTGTTATTCGTGGAGTGTTGATCGCACTTCTTGAAGATAGGACTCACATAAGCCATTTTCCAATCACTGAGGACCTTTTGCTCATGTAAACTTTGCCCAAATGAACTCTTGAAACTTATTAATTATTAGGTCAGTAAGGTAAAAGGGTAGGTAATAATTCCGATTAATAACTAAATATGGTAAATTGGTAGATAATAATTCCTATTAGTACATAGATATGGTAAATAGAATGGTAATAAATCCTATTAATTCCTAAATATGGTAAATAGATCGGTAATAATTTCTAATAAAGGTCAAATCTTACATTTAAATACCTAAATTACTGCTGGAGCCGCCTTAGTTAAGGACGGTCGGGTGATGGTCAAGTCGAAGGGAATGATTGAAACCCGCCTTTTGACGCATTCAATATTTATTGATGTGGTCAAAACCTGCAGACAACAAGGCGTTCATTAGTATTACAATTTTATCTTAGCTACATAAGGTCATTAAACATAGTGACATAATACAAAGTTCAAAACTCTGTTAATCTTAGTTGTGGTTCATTCCACATTGTCTAATTGCTCCAGATAAGGCAGAAAATGAGTAGGCATAATTAATCAACAATATTTCAGTATTGAGGGGTACGTCATCACGTAGGCTGTACTTACAAGTGCCGGTCGATGTAAATCAGTATGGTGTTTCAAGACAACAGTACTGCATAAATTGTCTAAGCACAAAACTCAGGGACAGGATTGTGAGTTGGTGTGTTCACTACTGCCAGCAGAGGGTGATGTTCAATGTATGGCTGTAAGGGGTGGTCTATGAATTAGGGAAGGCCAGACAGTCACCGTCACCTGCAGAACTGTCTACTCGGCAGAAAATAGGACCCCTCGGCTCCAAACATCCCCTCAGCTCATTCCACTACCCTCTCCTACATCTTCAATACTCTCATAACTAAACTATGTCTAACAATTTATTAACACTATCCACGCGGTTCCCCATGGGTGGTAACACTCCAAAACGCTTGTTCTATGGCTGCGACATTTACAAACATCTGGCGAGGTCACAGGTCGCACGGCCACATGGGAGTCACAACACCTCTACAGTCTACAATGGAGGTCACGACGTATGTGGTCGTAGGCTGAGAAATTTATGTTTGTTTGGGTAAGGTGACACTTGTAGACGGCACATCGGTTGAGGTGCTGGGAGGCGCTCAGTGCTGAGTGGAGGTGCTGTGTAGCTGAAGCCAGTGGCGATAACAACCACTGTAACCAAAATTTTAGGTGACCACTAAAAATTTCCTATTCATGTTATATGTACTATAAATCTCGACTACTGTATATTGTATATAGGTAAATAATTATGCTAAGTTACTTGCTTCTGTCACAAAGCGCACATTTATTCCCTTATCTACCCCACTTCTTGGGGAAAAGTCAGATGGTATATGTGATGAGTAATTTAAAACATTCCTTTTTGAGAGTTTGTGATCACAGTCCTTCACTCATAAAATTCTTGGGCTGTCTTTAATATTCTTCCCATATTTTGCATCTCTTTGGGGGACCCAACTTTTAACCATTCATCCATCCCAGTCTCTACCTTCCCTTAACCCTCCTACCCTCAATTTATTAACTTTGTATTTCTTTCATTGTTAATTAAATGGCCAAAGCATGTAATTTTCCTTAATCAATAAATTCCTATTACTGTACTGTATAGAATTTCTCTTGTTGCACAAGTTAATCTTAGTACTGTACAGCACTTCTTTATTTGTTTTCCTATCAGTAAATCTTATCTTTTGCATTTTCCTCCAACACCAAATCCCCAAACCCTCTAACCTCCTTTTGGTGCCTGCTTTTATTAAATAGCTTGGCAAAATTGGAAAATTGACTGAATGAATATGGGGGATTTAAAAACATAGGTAGAGTTACTGGCAAAATTCTCTGAACACTTGGCAATATCTGGAATCTACTTCTGAGTTATGAATATGATTCGGTTTATATATAATAACACTGTCGTTTATCACATATTATGTCAGAACCATAAAATGAAGAAAATATACTCCTTAATACAAAGAAAAATCTGAGAGAATATGTTTAAATTTTAATCCCCTTCACCTAATGATCCCCAAGTACTTACATGCCAGATACTGTCAAGTGCCCAGGGAATTTTTTCCACTACTGAACCTCTTTCGACCATGATATTTTGTTGCTGTGAATGTATTTGAGTTTACAAACATGACTGAGTAGAAACAATAAAATTCATAGGTGAAAATCTTTCATAGGACCCTTATAAGTACAGTACTGTACAGTATGTATCTTATTGAATTGCTGTCAAAAAGTGAATAGCCTTTGGTACGAAGTATTTTCTCAGTTACCAGTAATACTGTATTTTGTCTATAGAAATTTTGCAAATCATGAAACTGAAGATGCAAGCTTTACCTTTACATCATGAGCAGAACTGTGTAATAAGTCAATTTGTGTGTCCGCAGGTCAGTGGGGTTTGCCGACAGTATCCGTCTCTGGGGTGTTTGGCATGCTGGCTGGTATCCTTGCTTCCATGATCGAGAGTGTCGGTGACTACTATGCATGTGCCAGAATTGCAGGTAATTCATTTGAAAAAGCAATTAAAGAAATGAAATTCTGTATTTAGATTTCCTTTTGTTGGTGAAATACGTTAAATTTAAGGTCTTGGCTACATGTTGATAGGTGTAAGTTGACTTTGTTATGCAATCTTAATGTATTCACTTCTTTGTAATACAGGTACAGTATTACCCCGCTTTACGCAGTTTCACTTTCCGCGATTTCGCATTTACGTGGGACCTCGCCAGAACCGGACTTTCACTTTACGCGGTGCATCTACCCATATACGCGCAGAGTTTCTGGCGCGACGCTATTTTTAAATTCGACCCTCCCGCCTTCTCCCACTTGGGCAAGCCGCGCGGTAAGGTTGCGCAGTGCATGTCTCCGTTGCGTTATCAGTGACGTCATATGACGTATTGGACTGTAATTGGTTTAAAGTAATATGACGTGTCCACCCGCAGGAGGGAGGAAAGACGACGCTTGACCTAGCCGCATCAGTTTCATCCCTCCAGGCCACACCGTGTAAACGTGCATCCATTGTTCTGTAAAATGGCTTCCTCTGGACCACCGCCCCCAGAGAGAAACCTTGCCTTACCTGGACCCAGCCGCCCTAAGCCAAAGAAGATACGACGTTCCCTAACCTACGAAGTGCAATACAAGATCATTCAAGATTTGGAGAAAGGAATACGTCAAGCTGATCTCGCGAGCCAGCATGGAGTCAACGAATCTATGATTCGTACTATTAAGAAGGATGCAGCCAAGATCAAAGAACACATGAGAATCACAAAGTCTGCAGGGGCTTCAATGATCAAGTATTGCCAGAACAAGGTGCTGCTAAAGGTTGAAAATTTGCTGGTGATTTACTTGATTCGTCAGGCGCGGCGCAACATGGCGGTGGACACGCGATCCGTTCAAGAGTACGCCCGTGAACTGTGCGTAGCAGTGTCACGTAAGATGGGAATTGCAGAGCCCAAACCCTTCAATGCTTCCTCTGGTTGGCTGCATAGGTTTAAGAAGAGGAACAAGATCACCAACATCAACATTGGTGATGAAGAAGAGAGTGCTGACCGTGTGGCGGCTAGAGATTTTCCTCCTTTCTTACGTGAGGTTATGGAGGAAGGGCAGTACACCGACGACCAGGTGTTCAACATGGACGAATCCGGTCTATTTTGGAAAAGCTGTCTACCAAGACCTTCGTTGTCCAGTCTGCCAGCAAGATTTGGGGCCGGAAGTTGCAAAAGGAGCGCATCACCGTCCTCTTTACCACCAATGCCTCCGGTACCTGTAAACCCAAGTTATCGGTGATTCACACAGCCCGCAAGCCGCACGCCTACAAGAACGTGGACATGAGCAAGATTAATGTCCACTGGCTGCCAGCACGTTAGGCGTGGATGTTCTCTGCTCTGTCACTCTCCTGGTTTGATGACTGTTTTGTTCCCGACGTGAAGAAATTCTGCGAGCAACAGAATGTTCCATTCAACATTCTGTTGCTCCTTGACAACGCACCAGGACACTCGCCACTACTTATGGATCGTCACCCCAACGTAAAAGTGGTCTTCCTTCCTCCCAACACTACGTCATTAATCCAGCCCATGGACCAGGAGTTGATCTGCAATGTGAAAGCTGCATACTCTGCAAAGAAATTTAAGCTCCTGAACGACTGTACCAACACCAAGGATGAGTTGCGTAACCTGGGTGACACCGATAGCGAGAGCAAAAGCGACGAAGACGAGGACAAAGGAACAAGAGGTGGTGAATCAAGAAGTTCTCGGCAAACAGTTTTGGAAAAAATTTAACGTCAAACAAGCTGTGGACTTCTTTGTGGAGGCATGGGATCAGCTGTCTATAGCTACGATTCGTCGCGCTTGGAGGCATGTGTTGCATGGCATACCAGGTGAGAGGTGGAGTCAACTTGTGACTGGTGAGGTTCAGTCTGTGACAGTGGCATTGGACCTTGCAAGAGAAGCTGCGCACAGTATTACAGCTGAAGGCTTCTCCGAGACCACCAACGAAGGCATCTTGGAGGTGATCAGAGATCCTGAAATGACTGCTGACGAGATGTTGGAAGATGATCACGTCAGTGAAGAGGATGGTGCGTCAATCCCAGAAGAACACAAGTTAACGCATAGTAATATTAAGGGTATCATCGAGTGTGCAGAGAAATTGAAGCTCTTCCTTTCCAACGACCATGACGATGACCGCTATGAAGTCTTCCATACCCGGCTGGTGCAGGCTATGGAGCCGTACATCAAGGTGTATCTAGACAACATCAACACTAGCCGTCAAAAAAGCATTACCAAGTTCTTCGCCCGCAACCCACCACAGCCAGCCAGAGCCAGTGATAGTGACAGTGAAGGCGACTGAGGGATTTGTCAGGGAGGCCCTGACAACTATGACGGATAGTGATGGTGATTCACCTAGTGATGGTGATTCACCTGAGGGCCAGTAATCTGCCCTCTGCCTCGGAGCCAGCCTCCATCCACGTATGCCGACCCATTTCTTCTACTAACGCAAGTGTTAAACCTAACCTTTATTTTTCCTAACCTAACCTTTATTTTTCCTAACTTAACCTTTATTTTTCCAAACCTAACCTCTTCTATATTAATTGTGTGTGCATACCATTATAAAGTTAAGATAATATTTTTACTACAACATACTTTTGTGGCGTCAAAAAGTGGAGTTTGGGGGTTGGGCCAGTCTCCATTGGAATTAATCCCATATGTTCTGTTGTTCACTTTACGCTGTTTTCACTTTCCGAGGTACCCTGTGGGTTCAATTGACCGCGTAAATCGGGGTTCCACTTATACGAATTTCCATTTTTAATTTATTTCTTTCTTTTTTTTACTTTCATCCTCTTCACCACTGATCGGCTCTTTAGCCGCATGGGCGATCGGTCACGTCTCTGTCACGCACTGCTGGCAAGTACTGGGCATGCACTGGCTCTTGAATGTACCTGAACCCGTTCCAGTGTTGGTCAAGTCTTGTCTTGAAAGAGCTCACACTCAGCCCCGTCACAACACTCTCTGGCAGGTTGTTCCAAGAGTTCACAGCTCTCAACCCGAAGAAGATTGCCCTTAGTATAACTTTCATGTTTTTTTGTTTTTTTTTACCACTTATCCGCTTACTAACCATCAGGTGGTTGGTCTATCCAGTGTTAGTACAGTAGCAAACCGTACTCCGGGAAACCTTTCATGTATGATAGGGTCACAGTGGTCACACTGGATAACACCTTTCTCACATGTGTCAGGGTCAAGCAGGATTCGAACCCTTGACGTACTGTGAAGAGATTTGCTCGTTACCACTATAGCATGTATTAGTTAATGGTGCTAAGTTAAAAAAGTCATATTAGATCAATATTTTATCAAGACAGAAAATATCTTAGAATAGACAGCCAAACTGTGGAATGCTATGCCTTCTTTTGTGTTTCCATACTTATACAATCTGTCTCACTTTAAAAAGCTGGTTTTCCGGCATCGTTGTGGTGTAGATTAACACAGTATAACCTTTTTTCTTCTCTATTTTCAATTTCTTTTTGTTCTTTTTTTTCGCCCCCTAGGCCCAATTGTGGGTCGTTTGACCTGTGCCTGGGTGGGCTAATTCCCGCAAAAAAAAAAAAAGATGGGGAAGCACCTCACTCTTGAAGGTCGTGAAAAGCGACAGACGATCCAGATATCTAAATTCTAAACAACCTTCTTATAAGATCTACTAGTTTACTTGCTTGAGTCACCTTCTTCTTATAATGGCCTGAGAAATTAAATTCATTGTCGACTTACACACCCAGGTTCTTTTCACATTCAGTCTCAATTAATTCAGTCTCTTCGTCCTATTGGTTCGACCCAGGTGCAACCTTTTGCACTTCATGATATTAAATCTTAGCAGCCATTTCCTCTAGCATTCTTGAACTTCATAGAGATCTTTCTTAAGCTCTTCACAGTCTGTTTGGTTCTTAATTTCCCTAAATAACTTGGCATCGTCCGCAAACATTGTATGGAGGAGAGTATAGCTTCTGACATGTCATTGGTGAAAGAGAAAAACAACAACGGATCCAATTCACTTCCCTGTGGTACCCCTCTAGTCACAAGTACACATGACGATTTCGTACCATTTATCACCACGCACTGTTTGCGGTCATGCAGAAATTCCCCTTATCCACGCTAGGACACTTCCCCAAATCCCGTATCCCTCCAGTTTATTTCCTAGCCTTTCATGTGATATTCTTTAAAAGCCTTGGCAAAATCTAGGTATATATTGTCTTGTTCTAGAATTTGAGTCCAAACATCTAGTACCTTGAGTAATTGTGTTAAGCAGGATCTTCCCGGCACAAAACTGTATTGGCAATCCTTTAGAAGGTTGTTTCGTAGCATATGTTCCATCATGGCATCTCTTACGATGCTCTCTAATACTCTGCACACTATGCTGGTCAGGCTCACTGGTCTGTAGTTATTCGTGGGGTTGACAATCGTCCCTTCTTGAATATAGGACTCACATAAGCCATCTTCCAATCATCAGGGACAAGCTCGTTACACAGTTCTCTTAACACTCTGGGGTGCAACATTGTACTTTCTGTCTTAACTCTGACTTGTGGTAGCCTGGCGCGAGGGTAAGATATGTGGAACTGTAATAATGGTTCCAAGATATGGGAAGAAAATAAAGGTGGTCACTGTAGGAAAATAATACTCCTAACATACAATAAAATGGTTCATTACAAAAATGCTAGACCTCTGCCTCCTTCCAGTACACACAATTACTACGAGTAACACTCATGTACTTCTCAACAAGGTACAGTACACCTTCCGCATTCACCATTACTTGGTACACCCTTTAACAACACACCACACTAATTTTATACCTCGTACATTTGAGTACCAACAATACAACTTCCAGTATACAATAAAAATGGTGTATTTTCACAAAGCCACATAACACTGTGATCATCAACCGTACAGGTTACCTGAGTATGTAGCTTGTACATAGTAATAGGACATCTGCAGCAGTCCCACAACTAAATTCCTAGAGAGCAACC